TTTTTTTTTTTTTTTTTTTTTTTTTTTTTTTTTTTTTTTTTTTTTTTTTTTTTTTTTTTGTGGCGTCCATTCCCCATGGAGGGACACCTTGCTCAGCCTAGATACAGGGGTGGGGGAGGGCCTTGGTCCTGCCTCAACTTGATGTGACAGATTTTGTTGACCCCCCCCCAAGGGATGCTTTATTCTCTCTTCAGGAGTGGATGGAAGGTGGGCTGGGGGAAGGTGAGAGGAGTGGGAGAGAGGGGACGGAGAGAGGGGACGGAGGGGGAACAGGGATTGTTATGTAAAATAAAAAAGATTGTCCTAAAAATTAAAAAAATAAAAAATAATAAATCGCCATTAATCACAATAGTTTGAAAAAAGAGTAAAGTGTGCTGTAAAAACTATCAGTACAGCCAGGGCTGGTGATTCAGACTTATGATTTCAGTTTGTTGAGTCTAGGGCAGAAAGACAGCCTGCTTGGGTTATAGAGTGAGTTGAAGACAAATCTAAACAACTAAGTCAGACCCTACCTCAAAATAAAAATAAGAGCTAAAGATATATCTCAAAGTATAGTTGTTGCAGAGCATGGGCAAGGTTCAATTTCAATCTCTAGCAAAACATGCACATGAGAGTGCGCGTGCGCGCGCGCACACACACAAACACACATACACAGAGAGAGAGACAGAGACAGAGAAAAGAAAGAGAGAAAGAAAGGATGAGAAAGAAAGAAAGAAAGAAAGAAAGCAAGCCAGATTTGGTGGTATACACTCCTAAGCCCAGTACTCAGGAGGCTAGGGGAAGAAGAACAGAGGTTCTATGCCAGCATGTGCTGTAGGCCATCTCAAAAATAAAATAAAATAAAATAATCCCCGCTTTGCATAAGTCCTGTGGTAATACTCAGACCCAGCAATTTACATACTGTCTAGGGCTGTTTTCACTATACAATGGTAAAAGTCAGTAGTTTTCTCCAGAATTTGGAGAGAATGCTCAGCAATTAAAAGTATTTATTGCCCTTGCAGAGGACATGTCTTCAGCATCCACATGGTCCATAATCATCTCTAACTCTGGTTTCAGGGCATCTAACACCTGGCCTCCTTGAGCACCAGGTGCACACACACACACTGTGCATATCCATGCATGTCGGCAAAGCACTCATACACACAAAATAAAAATTAATAAATAAGAAAAGATAAGATAAGCAACAAAAAGTGGGACATAATGGTATACAAGCTTGTGATCTCAGAGACCGCAGAACTATGAATTCCAGGCAAGCCTGGACTGTAAGGTAAAACCTTGTCTCCAAAATCTCGAGAAAAAGCAAGCAAGATGACTCAGTGGGTAAAGGTGCTTTTTATCCTGCACCCATGGTGGAAGGAGAGAACTGACACCCTAAAGGTGTCTTATGACCTAAACACATTCACAGTGACATTGAGGTACTCCTGTGTTCTCTGCCCTGCCTCCCCCATAATCACAAATGAATAAATAAATACGTGTAAAAAAATTAAATCTACAAAAACAAAACTTGGTATGTCACAGGGTCTGTAGTCCCAGCACTTGGAAGCTAGAGTCAGGAGCTAAGAAGTTCAAGGCCAGCCTGAGGTATAAGAATTTGCCTCAAAAGAATATTTTTTTTTAAAAAAAAATCAATAGAAAGTAGGAAAAGGACATTTGCAAGGTTGCGGTATGAGCTTCCACTTTTCAAGTAGAGTGTAAACAAAGAATGGGCAAGACAGAAGCTTTTCGGGTGCCTGAAGTTTTCTAGATCTTAATGGACTCGAGTGTGACCAAATAACCATGCAGAAGTGTGTGACTGATGGGGTTGTATAAACCCTTCTCATGTTACTGTGTGAAGCTAAAAGTTACTAAAAAGAGTCAAAGGCACAGAACATGAGCAAGTTTACAGAAAAGTGACAGGACACCACAAAAATAAACTGCAGCATAAAACACACACAAACAATACCTATTTAGCAAAGAAATCCATTAAATGAATAATAAAAAGACAAGCTTGTTGTATGGCTCAGCTGTAATGCCCTTCCTCTGGGGCACACTGGAAACCTCAGGCTCAGTTCCTAACTCTAGAAAGAAGATAGGACAAAGCCGAAAGACACTGCTTTAGAATAGAAAGCTATGGGGAAATGGAAACTCATATATGTTTGTTCAATTAAAATTAGTACAGATTTTCAGAAAACAATTTATCAATACTCAAAGAATTAAAAAAAAAAAGCCCTACTGCTTGTACTGGCTTTGGGGGAACCTATTCTCTTTGCTCAGTCTAGATATAGTAGGGAGAGCCTTGGACCTTCCCCAAAGCAATGTGTGTTACCCACTCTGAGGAGTGGATGGGGCAAGGTAGGGTGAAGGGGTGGGTGGAGGGTGGGGTGGGAGGGTATGTGGAGGGAATGGGAGGAGGGGAGGGAGTAGGAACTGGGATTGGTATGCATAATGAAAAAAGATAGTGTTTGCTTTAAAATTTAAAAAACCCTCAGATATTCTTTAACTTTGAGAATCCATCCTTTCAACAATTCTAAACACAAAGAAAACTTACACATCTTACTTGTATTTGGCATTTTTTTTTACAATACTGAGAAAGTTTAAAATAATAAATTACTCAATTACCTGGGTACAATTATAGAAGTTATCATATTTTTATAGTATGTCATATTATATTTATTGAAATACCCCAGAGGTGCCTAAAATGCATTATGTGGAAATATCACATAATTAATTTTATGTTTTCAAAAATGTACACCAAATTCTTAAGCTTGCAGTTTTGATAGGAACGCTGAAAGCACACACAGGGCAAAGATGCATTTCACTGCATTCCAAAGTTTATGAGTTCGAATTTCAAACACACAGAGAACCTGAGGTCCTGATTTTACTCACTTCCTAGATTTTACTACCATGGTTTTAATAGACTTGGACCTCTCAATTTTAACACAATATGTTTTAAAATATACAGTTTAAATTTTTTAACACGTGGACATTGCTTTTTTAAGTAAAGTATCACTTTGATATCTACTGGATATGACTATCTTAAGAACTGAAATCAAATATGCGTTCACATATTATTTATAGACATAATATATAATTATTAGCCCTCTTTAAATTCTGAATCAATTGTCCTCTTATAAATTAAATTGTAAAATTATAAATGAACATTTATACCACAGCAATCACTGACTACAAATTTCTCTTAACATTTTCTTTTCTCAAGTAGATATGACTATAAATGCATATTTCTGAGGCAGTTATCTTCTACTGTTCAAATTTGTTACTATTGCTTGCCATAGTAAGATGCCCCATGACAAAAGGGAGTGGTGCTGAGCAAAGTGGCTCACTGGTACCATGCTTGCTTAGCATGCAGGAAATCCTGGTTGGATCCTCAGGTATAATCAAGTACTCCTGGTAATCCCAGAATTTGAGAGACAGAGGTAGGAGGAACAGATTTGGCTTAGCCTGGATATATTAGACTCCGCCTCCACAAACAAAAAATATCTAAAACCAGTAAATAGAGAAGATTATAGACTTGTAGTTTCTTTTGCCTCTACTCATTTTCTTATATGTTTAGCCTGTCGTGTCATCATCTGCCTTAACTTTAGGTGCTAATACACAAAGATTTTAAAAGGGCATTTATTGAAGACAAACTGCCATTTTCAGGGTAGCTTCCTATTTCTGATACAGGAAATATGAACTTCCTGTATCAAGAAAAAGGATCATTTGAAGCCTTTCTAAAATCATCACACCTTCTAAGTAATATTTGTATGACTTTTACACTCAATGACATAAACATGGTGTCCTACTTAATGTAAATTATCACATCACAGAACATCTTTGAACAAATGTTCAATGTTAAAATATACAATGCTGCACGCATGGCTTTTACATAAAATCCAAGTCAATATACTCTTCAACTTATATATTGCTCACAGCTGAAATGGGACTGCAACTAAGATTAATTAAAACCAAAGATAAATATTGAACACAGAAGGAGCACTGAGAACCACGTCCTCAATCTTTTTGCCAAACTACATTTAAACCACACTCAGGTATTCCAAGAACAGCACTCCGGAAGCAAACTAAGAACCAAGCACTCAGCATGAAGTTAAGACTGTTTATCCCTCTTTGCTTAGAACGAACAAGGCAAAACATTTTCTTTTCCTGTTAGCTCGAGCTTCCAAACACTTTAACTGTTTTTGTTGTTGCTCTTTATTTTTGAGACATGGTGCCTCTCTAGGTCTGAGTTCACCCTGGAATTTGCTCTCAATTCTCTTGCCTCAGCCTCCCCAACTGGGGAGTCTTCTGGGGGTGAACCACCATGCCAGGCTCCGAACATTTTTAAAAACCTGCCCCATGGCGCACGCCTTTAATCCCAGCACTCGGGAGGCAGAGGCAGGCCGATTTCTGAGTTCGAGACCAGCCTGGTCTACAGCGCTAGTTCCAGGACAGGCTCCAAAGCCACAGAGAAACCCTGTCTCGAAAAACAAAACAAAACAAAAAAAAGGCAAACAAACAAACAAAAAAACCTGCCCCATTTCCTCCGACTACTTACTATTAAAACTGAATTCTTCAGGATGCTTGTTGGTCTTCCAGATATCTCCGTAGGGATCCTCGTTGTTCCATAGAGCCAGGTAGTGGCTCCTGCCGCCTCTCAGGGGCCTCTCTGGCTTTTCCTCCTGCATTCTATTTCTAAATGGAGTTTCTACACAAAGGACATCTAGGGTCTCCCCACAGTGGACCTTATCTATGCACAGGATTCCCTGGCCCAATCTTTTCTCGTTGTAAAGGCACGAAACTCTGAAAATTCTCACTTCTATGCCAACTTTTAGAATATTCTGATAAACGAGAAAGTTTAAGCTGGGGTCTAAGTAACACTTCTCCTGGTACACCCCGTCCGAGATCGTCACATCATAGCAGTAAAAGGGAAGCTTGGGCACCATGTCCCGTGGCTCATCCTCTAAAAGGTATCTTTGGACGGCCAGTACAGTGACAGGCACCACATCGCTAAGGGCGACACACTGTCTAGGGGATCCGGTTATTTGCTCAATAACCTTCTGGATCCAGGACTTGTACCTTTGGCTACTGGTCCTTCGAATCACTCCTCCCGAAACCCCAGGCTGATTTCTTTCGGGGTGCGGCCAGTAGAGGCCAGCGTGGGAGGGTCCAGCCTCGGGCTGATCCGACTCACCAGACATTACGAGATAACCGCGAACGCTTCCCTCTCTGAAAAGCTTATTTTCCCCGTCCAAAGCCAGAGAAAAGCCGCGCGCTCCTAACCGAAGCGCCAAGCCGTCTGAGAGGATTGGTCTGGTCCCGCCCAGGGGCGAGATTCCACGCCTGCGCCTGCGCAGCAGCTTTCCCGCCTAGGCTTGGCGCCCCTAGTTTGAGACTTGGAGACTATGTTTCTAAAGAGAGCACGAGAGAAGTACGTGGCCTAGCTTGGTTCGCTGGACTCCCCCAGCCCATCGAGTTCCATCTTGGGGAGGGGAGGCAGGAGACTGAGAGGAGAGAAGCCCGGTTATCGAGGTTTCTAAAGTACAGCGGCGCGGCGGCGCGGAGGAGCGAGACTGAGGGGAGAGAAGCCCGGTTGTCGAGGTTTCTAAAGTACAGCGGCGCGGCGGCGCGGAGGAGCGAGACTGAGGGGAGAGAAGCCCGGTTGTCGAGGTTTCTAAAGTACAGCGGCGCAGCGGCGAGGAGGAGCGAGGAGCGCTGCTGGTTCCCCTGAGAGAAGAGATAGTGCAGGTGGGGGGTTGGGGGCGTGGAGGTGCGTGTGGGGGTTGGAGAGGTGGAGGGGTGGGGGGTTGGGGGATGGAGAGTGGGCAGAGTGGAGGAGTGGGGGATGGGGGGTGGGGAGATAGAGGGGGGTGTAGGAAGTGGCAAAAGCGAGGCTCTAGTAGTCCAAAAACAGGGCTTACTTGGGCCCGCAAAAGACCGTAATTTATCATGTTCATGTGTATTTACGAAGTTAGTGCCTTGTGGTTAAGAAATAGCTTCTTAAATTTAAACACGTTAAATTAGTAAATATACCGAACATGTTAATTTTGCTCTCCATAGTATGATCATAATCATATGATATATGCACAGCCTTCGGGGAAGTCGCTGGCACAAAAGACTTAAGTAAAAAATTAGCTGTTATTGTTATTAGTACTATCATAATTATCTGGAGTAGCTCCCTGAATGCAGGGTGGGTAAATTAGTAAGTGCAAATGAAAATTTAAGAATGTAGAATTGAGAAAAAAAAGGAAAAAAAAAAGAATGTAGAATTGAAGCCGGCAGTGGTGGCGCACGCCTTTAATCCCAGCACTCGGGAGGCAGAGGCAGGTGGATCTCTGTGAGTTTGAGGCCAGCCTGGTCTACAAGAGCTAGTTCCGGGACAGGAACCAAAAAGCTACGGAGAAACCCTGTCTTGAAAAATCAAATCAAAAAAAAAAAAAAAAAAAAAAAAAAGACTGTAGATTTGGCTTGCTAAAGATCTACCTTCAGATTATACTTTTTTGTTGTTGTTTGTAACATCCTGTGCCCTGCTTTCTATTTAGGTGAGCTGTAGGTTACTTTTTCTTGGGGAGATGACACCAGTGACTCCAAAGGGACTGATGGCAAGCCAAAGAAAAGATTCCCATCCGAGTTCATGCTCTCAATCGCAGGCAGTGAGTTGTCGGGGCTTTCTTATAGGCACATGGGTAACCCCAAAACAGTTCCATTGTGGAAAAAAGCACAAGCTTTCCAAACCTTCTGTGGAACTGGAACAGGAGAATATGCAGTGAAGGTGGGAGGCAGGTGGGAGGGAGGCCTAGTGAGAGTCCAGCGATACCCTCACCCACTTCTCCTGTGTGGGCACAGCAAGCCTGACCTGAGCATCTATGGGGGGGAGGCTCATAATGCTCTGACCTAAAGACAGAGGGAGCCATGCCATGCTCAGAGGACCGTGTTCTATACCGTAAGTCTTACGCAGCTCTGATGGGGCCTCCCTCACTAATGTCAGGAAGATCTCTGCTGCCCCCAAACCAATGTGGGACGAAGGAGGTCCTCCTGCTGCCCCTGCCGGGTCTCACAAGATCCTGCTGAGCTAGGTCTTGGGGAACAAAATGAAACTGGAAATTTACTTCTATTGCAGTCCTGTTAACTTCTATTGCAGAGCCTGGTCCTGTGCCTGTCGTTCTGTGATGGCTGTTCCTGCCCAGTGGTCAAGCCTTCAAAATTAGAGCAACACTGGCCTTAGAGAAGGTTCCAAAATTCCAAACCCCTGAAACAGCCTTTGTGAGACCTCTGGGCCTTTTTCTATAAAGTAAGTTCATGGACGTCAAATTTATCTTATTGCCTGCCTGGAAAGCCCCCCTTATGTGTTTTAGAACTGAGGATCATCATGGGTGTCCCTGGCAATGCTGGTGACTGAAGGCAGGGAAACACCTGAGCCTCCCACATACTGCCTTTTCCTGTTCTTTACTCCTAAGTTAGACTTTTTAAAATGCATTTTTAAAAATATAATACCTAGTGCAACATACTGAAAGGAAGCACAGTTTCAAAAACTGTATTTCTTAAATACAAAGCGTATTTCAAAGATAAGTGTAAAGTGAGTATATTGAGCAGAATAATGTAGCATGATTAATAGAAACCCAGAGACAGATACTGGAGTTCAACCTGAAGGTCAGAAAAGCAAAACAGCTAGCCACTGACTCTTACCTTGTCCTCAGTTCAAAATGGTGATCCTGCCTCCAGGAATCCTCACATTGAGAATATAACTGAGAGCTGTCTCCTCCCATCTTATACTCCTATTTAGGGCTGGTATTAAAGACATGTACCACTATCACCCAGTTTCTGTGGCAAACTAGTGCTGAAAGACCCTCGAAGAGGACTTTCTCTCAGGAGGAGACCTCCCCTATGCCAAGGAACAGGCCGAGACCACACGGATGCAAATCGCAAGAGGTTTATTGGGTTAACACAGGTACCTGCCAGCGGCAAGTCTTTCGGAGGACTTGCGAGCCTGCCGACTGGAGGGGGGGGGTTTATAGGGAAGAGCAAAAAGCAAGTTTACACTATGTTCAGCGAGACCGGTTTTAACCCGGGCTTTTTCAGACCCAGGCCAGCTGGCCTTGGTGAGTTCCCGATAGAACATTCCCCTTGTCTCAGTGTATGGGTGCACCCTTCGCGGTCCTGAGTTCCTTGCTTGTGCTCTCTCTCCTTCTGCTTCTGATTTGGACCTTGAGATTTCAGTCCGGTGCTCCATTGTGGGTCTCTGTCTCCTTTCATCGCCTGATGAAGGTTAATATTCAGGAGGAAGCCTATATGATTTTCTTTGGGTTCTCCTTCTTATTTAGCTTCTCTAAGAACCCGAATTATAGGCTCAATGTCCTTTATTTATGGCTAGAAACCAAATATGAGTGAGTACATCCCATGTTCCTCTTTTTGGGTCTGGCTTACCTCACTCAGGATGGTGTTTT